ATTACGCTTCACACATGTATCGGTTCCCATGACGCGTACCTTTTCAGATGCGTAAATTACGAAAAACCAATCACAAATTGTTTTGCATTTCTGTTAGAATATCTAACAGAAACTCTAATCTGGATTGGTTAAATTAGTTACGCTTTTCACATTTACGTTAAAATACGCCCTAGTGAATCCAGACTTTCAAAATGGCGTAACTTCTGTTAAAATTACTAGAATACGCAGGTTACGCTTACGCAAGTTACGCTGCAGTGACGGCACCCTAGGCCAGATCTACACACAGGTGTAGTAAGCTCTAGCTTTAAAAAATTCACCAATCACAGTCAAGAATGAGGAGAATAATTGACTGTGATTGATCAATTTCTTAAGGCTTAGAGCTTACTACATCTATTGTAGACCCGACCTTATCCTTGTTCCTCTATCGTGCTGGTATTCGCGAGATACGGCCTGAAAATGCTTTCTGGCCTTCCGTAGCAGAAGGCAGTAGCGTAGCAAGACTAATAAGCATCTACTTTTTGTAAATTTTATATATGCTTATGCACATATGTGTGTATATATGGGTGCATTCGTTTATGCAGTGACTGCCGCAGAATGCGCAGATGTCGTTCGTTTACTCCACCTGCGCAACCGACTGCAGCGCAGTTTGTTGTTCGTTTAAGCAGGCTGCTGCCTATCTGCGCAGCCATCTCGGAGGGTCCTGCTCAGAATGCTCTGCTCGCAGTACTGCGGACTACGGACTACTGCGTAAACGAATGTAGTCTTCTCATTGTTAAGTCAATTGAACTTGGAAACGTTGCCTGAAAATTATTTCAATTATGAGTTATGTTATAAAAGTTCAGAACAAAAAAAGGTGGAGAACAACTCCTCCAAATAGATCCTACAAAACTACAAGTAATGCAAGGTAAGTAATACAATAAAATTAGGAAGTCTGTTAATTTTATTTTACGATCCAATTAAACTTAAAAATGCACTTTTATCAAGAATATAAATTTAAAGTAATCTGTTTCAAAAAAATGTGCTTTGTATAAAGATGCAATTCTGTTACAGTCATTCCTAGCTATCAAGCTACTTCGTCCCCAGTTAGTTTGGAAAAATCTGAGAAGTCTACATTCAGCAACATTTTCAATCCTACCGTCATCACTGTCTGAAAATGTTATGTGCACACGTCATGTCAGAACCTTTAAACTATTAAAAATTTTATTATATTTATTCAAATAATAATTCATATTTAATATAAATATGATGGTTTCTAAATCGGCCTAAGAGCCATAGCACGAAAAATTACGAAAATTAATAAGTGCAAGTTATTCTTATCATGTTTATTCGCGTCTGGGCCCAATTACGACGCTTTGGGGGGGGGGGGGGGTTGAAAGCATTGAGAAAAAGTATTGTTTTGTGAGTATCTGAATAGCTCAGTTGGAAAAGCATTCGCCCGGCAAGCGGAAGGTCTCGAGTTCGATTCCCAATTTAGCCAACTTCGGACCAATATTTTTCTCGCCTATTTCTTACAGGAAAATTTATAATAGAAACAAGGAGTTTTTGAGATCCCAACCACAGGATACGAAATTTCAGTTTCCTCAATTTTCTTACTTAATTTCGCAATAAGATCGCGTTTGGCTCTATGGCGGGAAAGAAGGAGGTGTATATCGTGTTTATATTTAATGATTTATGATAATCAATATTTTATTATATTTAATATTCTATTAACAAAACAGATATTGATTATAATATTATGAACTTATTTTTTCAGATACTGATACAAGAAAACAAAAAACAAAATGTGAAACATTATAAGCAGCACATTTTAAACTGCTTTTTTTCATGCAATAAAATAATATTTACAAACATTATTATTGAATATAAATTTTTTATCATTTTATATATAAAATTGGCATAATTAGAAAAATGTTTAAAAAAGTACCTTAAAATACTTTGCATTAATAAAAACGCATCATAATTCTGTGATTTTCCTTAGATTCCTTCAATCTCTCAGTCTTTTCTTCCAAATCTTATCATTTGACAAAAAAATTTCTTGTCGATTAAAATCCTGTAAAAATTGCACCATGATAAAAATTATAGAATCGCGTCAATTGCTCATTTTTAACATTTTCATTACATTTTAATTACAGAATCCAGCTTAATGTGAACACTAGTTGAATATGTGCATAAAAGCACTCAATTTTTGGATTTCAAAATTTTAAAAGTTCCAGGTTGTTCTAGATTTGAACTAAATTATTCCAGAAGATGAAATTGTATATAAAAATTTTCACAGAAAATCAAAAAAATTAATTTTTTGACCTGGCACCCAATTTCCTGAAAATTGACATATCTTGAGACTTGTAATCTTCTTGATATATTGCATTCAATTACATTTTGTAATACATAATTTTTAAATTCATGAAAATATACATTTTGAAAAAGGAATATTACACTATTTTAGTTCACACAATTTTCTTTTGCTGCTTCAAATTATTTACAAGTTCCTTCAGCCTAGTTACACGAACGGCCAATCTGTTCCGAGATTGCTGTAAAGTTTTAATCTTTCTTCGTTGCTTTGCGATGGTTCGTTTTGCCACTTGCAAGGCTATGTCAGCTTTTACAGGTGTATCAAGATGCGACATTGTAATGTCACCAACATAACGAGGAAAATGTATAGTCTTAACAGGACGTCGGAAGCATGGATTATCTTCAAAACTCGGCGTATGTAGATGGTCTCTCGTTCGGTTGCGGAAATTTTTATTATAAGTTTTATACAAATATATTAACTTATAAAAGATTTATATATATATAAATTAATATATAATTTATAAAAAAAAAATTAAATATATTATATATTAAATATATAATAATATATATATAACTTATAAAATATATATTATATATATATTAATTTCATTCATCAAAGAAATGCAAATACAGTAATTTTTTACCTTTGAATTCCATGGAATCTTCGTCAACAGACACAAATTCGAAGCTTTCCGCAGTCTTGACGTCTACAATGTTCAAACTTTTGTCATCAGCTTCATTGTACCAGCCCGTGTCTTTCAGTTCTTCCAGATTACGGGTCCTTGCATATATTTAAATTCTTGACGTCTACAATGTCCAAACTTTTGTCATCAGCTTCATTGTACCGACCTGTGTCTTTCAGTTCTTCCAGATTACGGTCCTTGCATATATTTAAAATCAAACTTGACGCAATTTCTTCTTCTTGCTAATAATAGATGGCACAACGTTGGGTTTTGCCATTGTACCCTTAGATTTGTTAATTATATCTTCTTTTTGGAAATGATCTGAACACAGTTTAGTAGAAGATGTTAAAACTTGTTTATCAATGCCACAAAAATCTAGCCACTTCCTACAAGAATCCTCATTTTTCGGAATCTATTGATAAATGAAAATAATATAATTATAATAATATAATATTATATATATATATATATATATTATAAATTATATGTTAATATATGTAAAATCTGTAATATATATATTAATATATTATATAAATTAACAAATATATAAATAAATAATAAATATTAATAAAAAATAAATATTAACAGATATACAAATCAATAAATTTGTGTGAAATATGACCAAATATTGTACAAAAAATAATTTAAATCTTTCACATTTATTGTGTATACAAAATATATTACATATATAATATACTTACGTTAAAATAGGAGACTGATTTATCTCGGTTACCGCACAAGAGGCAATATCGCATCTTTTTGTATTATTCTGTATCTAAATTGTGTCAAATAAATTGTTTATTCTATAAATGAATTATTGAAGTTGACATCAAATTCAAGTAGGGTTGGATAATAACTAGTTATTTAGTTAAAAGTTAAAAGTTAACAACTTTTAACTTAGCTTAGTTAAAATATATTAATTTTTACTTCAACTAGTTATTTTTTACCTTAATCTTGTTTTCATCTCTAAATACATTATTGTTTTTAAAAGTTATAAAAACGTATAATTTTAAATTAAGGTTACTAATTTTTGTTTATTTGTCATCAATTATAATTAAAATATACTTCTATATAAGAATCAAAATATTTTTTGTTATTTATTATTATAAATTTCAAAAGAATTAACAAATTCTAATTTAATATAAATAATGTTTTTAAAAACTAACTTTTGACTAACTTCAATTAATTTAATCTTTAACTCAGTTAATTTTTTTCATGCAACTTTTAACTAAATAATTTTATAAGCATCTGTAACTTTAACTTAGTTAAAAAAAACATTAACTCATTCAACCCTGAATTCAAGTAACCACAATAACAATCTCTTGTGATCATGGAAAAACTACAAAAACCATGAAAACAACAGATCTGTTCTCAACTGAACTAGCTGCACTAATTAGAGTTCATCTTTTTCCTTCCGATGTAGAGAAAAAGAGATAAACTGTGAACTGGTACAGCTAGTTCAACAAAAGATCAAACTTAAAATATGGCCGATGTGCACATACGAAAAATTGTGTTGTAAATGTGACAGTAGAAAATGTTGATATATGATGGGGGTAACTTGTTGCATAAAAAATGCAAAGTACGTGGGGAAAGGATTGTAAAATAAACTTTATAGGTAAGTATAATCAAAATAAGTTTTGTTATAGAAAAATTGGAACGTGATTTTTAATAAAAAATTAAAATTGCAGTTTCAAAACTTATAAATATACATATAGTATTTTATTAATTATTATATCTTGTATAATGTATATATAGAAAAAAGGGTATATATATATATAAAAAGAGTCACAGAACTTGCAACCTATTATTTCTTTTTATTATTTCTATTAATTTTTTTTTTGAAAAAATTATGATTTAATCAACTGAGCGAAAACTAAAATTAAAATATTTTTCTTTAGATTTCCACTTCAAAATAAAGCAACAATGAAATCTGGGATTGCAGCTACAGGATGCAATAACTGGTTTCCATATCAGATGCACGAATATGTAATTTACATTTTAAAGATACAGATTATTCTAATAATACAGAGCACACTAAACTAAGACGTCTTAAACCTAATATTATTCCAACACTGCATGTACATGCAAATATTTGCAAGTTTTAAACAAAATACAAATACATTTCCAATATTCCAGCAAAACAATAAAATACATACAGTCAAAAAATGTAAATAAAATTAAACAAATCAAATATAGTAGGCCATCTGAACGAGCAAATAAATAAGGTGTAAAAATTTATTAATAGTTAAATAATTAATTAACATTCCGTTACAGAATCGATATAAATTGTAAACGTTTCGACTGCACTACAGTCTTTATCAATACATAAAAGTTAAATATTAAAATACAAAGTTAAATGTTAAAAAAACAAAGTTAGTTAAATATTAAATATAAAATTAAAACGATTCTTCGCTGTTGACCAATAGATATGCAAGGCGATTGGTCTGAGATGCCAAGTTATGCGACATTTAAACATGATTATCGTTTTAACAAGTCCTTTTTCCCGATATTTCAAGTGTGTTGCGAAGTCTGAAAACAATGTCCTGACATTTGTTATTCAGACTTCGCAACACCACTTGAATATCGGGAAAAAAGGACTTGTTAAAACGATAATCATGTTTAAAATGTCGCATAACTTGGCATCTCAGACCAATCGCCTTGCATATCTATTGGTCAACAGCGAAGAATCGTTTAATTTATATTTTAATATTAACTAACTTTGTATTTTAATATTTAACTTTTATGTATGATAAAGACTGTAGTGCAGTCGAAACGTTTACAATTTATATCGATTCTGTAACGGAATGTTAATTTAATTATTAACTATTAATAAATTTTTACACCTTATTATTTGCTCGTTCAGTTGGCCTACTATATTTGATTTGTTTAATTTGTTAATTTATACGAGCCTTTCATTAATTAATTGTAATTAAAATTATTATTGGATTGTATTTAATAATAATTAATTACAATATATATATATATGTCCTTGCAAAAATAAGTCATTTATTACAGGTGCTCGAAATAATATCATTATTTTTAAAGGAGACAAATCAATAAATAAAGGAGATATAAGTAAGTAAAATGTATACAGTAATATATCTATTAGGATTTGCATATTAAATAAATCATAATCATCACAAGGTATTGTAATGATAGGAAAATTTGAATTAAATATTATATCTTATACAGGGTGTCAAGTAAGAAATTGCAGGAACTAATCAGCTGTTATTTTTAATTTATGCAGCTATTGAGAAAACAAAAATTGTGTTGGAAAAAGGAAGTCCACAGTTTTTAATGGATATAAATAAAATGTGTATATCAGTTTATTTTATTGATAAAAAGTAATGAAAAAAGTGCTAATAATCACATAAATTAATGATAATATTTTCAACAGTGCCAAAATATTTAATAGCAGCTATTAAAAGGATCAGCAATAACATTAAAAATGACATATTAGAAAAAATGTTTTATGAGTTCATAAAAAACAGAATTTTGTACAAAATTCAAATGGTGTGCACTTTGAAAATATGTCATTAGTTATGTGATTTATGTAATTATCAGAATTTTTTTCATTACTTTTTATCAAAATAAAATAAACTAGTATACAAACATTTTATTTATATCCATTAAAACTGCAGACTTCCTCTTTCTAACACAATTTTGTTTTCTCAATAACTGTGTGAATCAAAAATGACAGCTGTGTAGTTTCAGCAATATATAATTATTACACAAAATAATAAAAGCATTTATATAGATGATCAAAGTAATACTGTTGTTCAAAATCAAGGAAATTTAAGTAGTGAAAAATAACAATGAAATGCTTCAGCGAATGGATGTGTGAAATGTATGTGTTGTTTTCAACAAAATAAAGAATTAAATATTTATATACAATTAAGTATGTACTTTATAAGTGAAGAATCTATAAAATATTGTAGGTTCCAAATATGCAAAATATGATGCGTTGTAGAAGAAAATCAACAATTAAAAGAAGAGAATAAATGAATTTAACAAATCATAAGAACGATTAAATCAGCAGGCAAGCATGTTTTGTGAGCTCATGAATACAAAAGAAGCTATGTTAAAGAAGAAATTAAAAATGGTCAGAAAGAAAAAATAGAACTAAATAGAAATATACGACAAAGAGAAAAAAATATGTATTTAAAAACATTACTTACATACTTCCATCGCCAGCAGTTTAGTAGAAGAAAATAATTCATCTATTTGTAAAAATCATCTATTTACGAGGGCCTTTGAAACTCTTTAAGTGCAAGAATAAAATATAAGATACGTATATATTATTTATATTTTGTTTATTGAAAAAAATGATTTTGCATACATGATATGCTTCATCTAGTATAATAATAGATGTCGATAAGAGAGAAATAGATTATAACTAATTATTAAGAAATGTGTGAATTTATTAAGAAATATGTAAAACTAGTTGTCGTAAACTGCTGATGATTTACAAATATTAAATATAAGTAATTTAAAAATTAAGATTTAATTAAATTGCTACAATAAATAATAAAATTTATAATGTTTAAATGTATTAAACTTAGAAAACTAATGTCGAATGTTATTATTTTGTATGATTCATTGTGTAGACTCAAAATATTACATATACTTATTACGTATAAACCCATTTTTATCTCGGTTATCGTACAACACAGAATTATTTTTTAATCAATTAACTCATTAAACTTATTCTATTTCTTTATTTTATTTAATTTTTTTACTTTATATTTGGAGAGAGACGAGAGCTTCTATATGCTGCCTGGGGTTAACCTCAATCTAAAGCGGGGTCTACAATGGCAGCAGGAGTACAGAGTACAAGAAGTAAGTAGTAAGCAGTACGAAATGGGATGGCTCATTCCGTTACTCCCGAAATGAGCGAATCCCATTTCGTATTGCTTACTGGGCGTCGATTGTGTAATTTTTCTTTTAAAGTGAAATTTTTCACTTTTACATTTTCACTTTAGAAAAAATTACACAATTGACCCCCTGCTTACTCTGGAACTCTGCACTTCCTGCTGCCATTGTAGACCCCGCTTAAGGGTCGACAGGCGACATGGTGGAGACGCCTATCGGCCGGCCGGGAATTACGGATTCTTATTTTCCAGATATTAGCGAAAATATTGAATGAATCTTATTAAATTTAGGATATTCTTAATCAGTAAGCTCATTTGTAGTCCTCTAAAGAGCTATTTTATGAAAAAAAGATAAAAATAAAAATTTTTAATAAACTTGGGGGAATGCACAGTTAGGAACGGGTAAGGTTGGGTTAGCCGCGAGTCCGTATTTTATTTATTATAAATTTTTAAGAGCGAAAATGTAAAATCCGGCCTTTTAGAGGACTGCTTTATTATATAAAGAATATATTAAAAAAAAATTCACGAAGTTATGTCACTT